CATGGGATTAAAAGGATCAAGTTTTAGCAAAAGAAAATAATGTAGGAAAGAGACATAAAATTTGGAGTTCATGAGGAGACACAATTTTGACAATGATTTGTAAAAATATAATTATGTACCTCAACCTAAAAGAATTCAATTAGCTATTCATATAGTTAATAGTTATTCCAAGTCAGTGGCTTTCATATGTAGTAGCAATATGTGCTACGTGAAGAAGTATATTCAGAGTTGCAACTAAAAATATAAAGCACTTAATAAAAAGCTTATTACAGTCCATAAAAGAAAACTTAAACAAATGGAACAATGAGTATGCATTCTTTCAAAATGTAATTAGATTTTTCATTCAATTTCAATCTAAATCTCATCTGGAAAAATAACGACATGAATAATTAAAAATTTAGAAAGGAATAATGGAAGGAATGTTCTGTCCCAATATTGAATTACGAAGGGTTTTAAAAAGTTCATGGAAAAGCTTTATCATCTCATCATTCACCCCCCCCAGTTTTTTTAGCCTTCTCTAATATATTGCATTAGTTCAGCAAATAAAACCAGGGTGCTGCCACGGCAATTAACTGAAGGTTTGGTGGAACATAGTAGGTCCCCGGAAGAATCTCAGGACAGTAGTTTTCAATTTTCCCCCCCAGAGATCCTGCAGGTTCCCACAAGTATTTATAGTCATTGCAGCTTAAGGACCCCTGATGGTTATACTTGTTTATATTTTGTTTGGACCCACCAGCTGCTCTGTGGGAGAAAGAGGCTTTTTGCTCCTGTAGCGATTTATAGCCTTGGAAACCCATAGAGGCCGTTCTCAGTCTCAGTCTCTTACAGCGTGATTATGACTCTATAAGAATCCACTCACTGACAGTGTGGTAGACACTGGGCTCTCTTCTCCACCTCAACAAGACCAGCTATGGTTGTTCTTATTTATGTATTGAATTTCTACAATGATGTATTAGATTTCCCTCAAATATATTTATAGCTTGAATATTAATGCACAAGTAAAATTTCGCTAAGTATCATCTGACAATTATTGCCGCAGTTCGCAGGCAGTTGCTAGAGGTTCAGGCTGGATTCAGAAGAGAACGTAGAATAAGGGCTCTCGTTGCTGATGTAAGATGGATTTTGGTGAAAAGCCTAGACTCAACTAAGTCAAGGCATCCGACTGTGTGGATCCTAAACTGTGGATAGCCATGAGAAGAATGGACATTCCAGAATACTTCCTTGTGCTCATGTGGAAATTGCACATGGATCAAGAGGCAGCTGTGTGAACAGACAGGGGAATACAGGGGAATGGCTTAAAATTGAGAGGCGTGCATCAAGGTGTGTGAATAGGACATGGAATAAATACAAGGTTTACAATGGAGGAGATGTGCACCATACTCATATTTCTCAACGCTTATGCTGAGCACTTCATCAGAGAACCTGGATTCTATGAAGAAGAATGTAGCATCAGGATTAGAAGAAGTCTTATTAACAACTTGTGATCTGCACATGACCCAACCTCGCTTGCTGAAAGTGAGGAGGACTTGAAGCACTTGCTGCTGAAGATCAAGGATTGCATTGCAGCCTTTAGCATGGATTGCAACTTGATGTCAAGAAAACCAAAGTCCTCACAACTGGACCAGGAGGTGACATCATGATAGATGGAGAAAACATTGAGGTTGTCAAGGATTCCATCGGGCTTGGATCCACAATCAGTGCAAGCAATTGGAAGCAGCAGTCCAGAGATCCAAGGATGCGTGCCATTGGGTCAATCTGCTGCTCAAGACCGCAGTAAAGCATTGAAAAGCAAGGAAGTTACTTTGAGGACTAAGATGTGCCTAGTCCAAACCAGGGTGTTTCAATCACCTCATATGCACATGAAAGGTAGACATTGAATAAGGAAGACCAAAGAATTATTGATGCATTTGAACCATGGTGCTGGCAAAGAGTATTGGAAGTCCCGTGGACTGCCAAATGAACAAACGAATTTGACATGAAAGAAGTATGGCTAGGGTGCTCTTTAGAAACACAAACGGCAGGATTTTGCCTCCGGTACTTTGGACGTGTTTCCAGGATAGACCAGTGCCAGGAGAAGGACATCGTGTTTAGTAAACAGAGATGCAGTGACAAAGAGGAAGGCTCTTGAGCAGACGGACTGGCACAGTGGCTACAACAGCGGGATCCAGCACAACCGCAATTGTGCCCGTGGCGCGGCACCGCGCAGCCTTTCCTTTCGTTGTGGACGTGCTGCTCCCAGTCAGACCTGACACAGCAACCGACCAGCAGCGTTCTTCGCGCATGCTTGGAGACTGCCTGTCCTGTCAGAGCATGACCTCTCTGACCAATTAGGGTGTGGAGAGACTTGGCTTAATAATTGGAGGTGAGGCTAACAGTAGCGCTTACTTTTTTACAATAAATTCCAAATGAGTTAACAAATAAGACCATGGAAGTAACTGGAAAAAAAATTGACCGCTGTTCCTGTATACTCCCTGTTGATGTTGTCTTTGTGGGTGATTTGTGACCTTGGACACACTCTGTGGTTGTCAGGAAGAACTGCTGGGTGGGTTTGAGCTACTAACCTTCAGGTTATCAGCTGAATGCAAACTCTCCCTCCCCCTGCCCCCACTACCTTTTTGTGGTTAAAAGGAAATTCTAAAAGTAAAAGCATTAGGCATTACCATGAACACGATGAATGTCAATGGCGTGTAAAAACAGAAAACTTTCCATGTCTCTATTTAAAAAAACCCTAAAATATAATCAACAAGGAGTAATTATTTTGAGTATGAGGAACATTGAGTGTTATTCTTAATGTAAAAGAGCTATTTATATATTATTAAGAAAAACATTGATCCCAGTTGTCATATCCCGTGTAATCATCATGTAGGGAAAAAATAGTCTCATTAGTAGTTGCACAAGTATCATTAAGCTAACAATGAAATGCCACTGATTTGACCTATTAAATTGGCAAGTGTTACAAAAATGATAATGTTCAATACTGCCAAGTATGTGGCGAGAGAGGAGGTTTTCTCTCTCCTGGCAAGAGTAGAAGTTGTTAAAATCTTCTTGGAAACAATTGGCAGTATATCAAGAGACATGACAAAGTTCATGTCTTGTGATTCATAATAATAATACTCCAAGACTACTAGAGTGTCTCTATATTTTGCAAATATTTAATTAATCAAAATTTTAGTTAAATAACAGAAATGTCTATCAGTGGTGGGTTAAAAACAAAACAGCCAAAAAACTCAACTAATTTCTTGGGAGCCGATGCGTGCCACAGTGGTAGACCTCCCTAAGATTTTCAGTGGCTGATCTGTTTTAGGAAGGCAAGTGCCAGAGCTCTCTTCCAAAGTGCTCTTGGAGAGATTCAAACCACCAACTCTTTGGTTAGGAGCGAGTGCATTAATCATTTGTCCAAGAGTTATGATTTCCTTTTTGAAGACTTCCAATGACACAGATACAAGACACTGAAAAATTCTGTGGTAAAAAGAGGAGGTGATACCAAATGCTCAAATAGAAAGTAAATGTTTAGAAAATAATGATGTCAATATATGTACAAATGTACTTGATACAATTGATGTATGGATTGTTAGAAGAGCTTTAAGAGCCCCCGATAAAATGATCTTAGAAAACAAAACAAAAACAAAACCCAAAATATTCTGTGGTGGAAAACTGAATGAAAAGATAATGGAGTTCTTCCACTAACTTTTGGAAGCCCTCTCCTATATATTACATAGCCTTTATATAATGTAATCTGCATTAGGTTAAAACTAATATGTGTGACTGGAAAAACTTAAAAGGGAAGCAAAGATATTAACAGTAGTTACCTCGTGACTGTAGGCTAGTTGGGTGTATTTTGTATTTGGTTTTCTTCTATGTAGGTATAAATTTGCATCTTTCCAAAATGTTTATTGCCAGAAAACGTAGTTATTTTAAGGACTATAATTACCCATGGTAAACTTTAAAATTAAATTATATCACAATGATGGCATTCTTTCTCCTCCTGTTAGGTTGAGCCTTATTGATTATCTGAAATATCTATTGCCTGTATTTCCATAAAAGTTTGTCATGATAGTATTAAAGATTGTGAATGATCTTGCTCCCTTTCTTACCCTATTATACCCTGGATCCCAGTTTCTCAGGGGGTAGGTACGATGTGAACAAGTGGAGAAGGTCATTAAATTAAAAACCTATGAAGATACATTCTAATGCTACTTGTATGTTTGATCACGGCAAGGGAGTCGTTCAGAAATCGAAACTGTGGGATGTCTGAAACAGCAATACTTCCTGGTCAAGAGATTTTTTGGAACAATGGGCAGTTGATCAATCTAATATTTATGTGTGATAGCTTGGATTGCCTTTTCTAAAAACGCCTTCTTTATATTGGAGACTTTTTTTTTCTAAGAGTATGACTGCCTTGAGAGTCTGATTGATGTCTCTGCCATGTGTCACATGACTTTGCTGCTATCAGTGTTGTGTGTGTGTGAAGGTAATTTACCCTGTATTTGTTCTATTGGAGCCTTGGTGGTGCAGTGGTTAAAGCGCTCAGCGGTTAATGGAAAGGTGGGTGGTTTCGGCCCACCACCAGCTGCCGCTCTTCAGGAGCAAGCTCTGGCAGTCCACTCCATCAAGATGACAGCCTTGGAGACGCCACGGGGCAGTTCCACCCTGTCCTGTTGCGTTGCTGTGAGTCGCCTTCCGCTAGACAGTAGCGCTAGGCTTGGTTGTGGTTTGGGGCATTGTTCCCACAGCTCATTGAGTGCGACTGGTCCCCACACAGGCACCTCTCCTCCTCTGTCTCCTTTCTCTGTCTTGCAGGCACTGAGGGTGGCTGGATTCTGGTGTTTTGTGTGGCGCCATCATCTCCTTCTCGCCTCTCATGCACTTCATGATGTAATTCTCGGCACTTTCACTTCCTTTGTAGAGTAGGATGTGATGGCATAGAGATGGGGACAGGGCTATCCAAATTCTCTCAATTGCTGGGAGGAGCTGCCCAGGTGTGCTGAGGGGCCTGTACTCAGGAAGAGAAACAGGGAGTCCTCCACAGTGAGTAACCCCGCTTTCAAGTGCACCCAAATTTTGGTTAAAACTTTGTCCCATGCGGTGGTGTTTCCTCTTCGGCCCTTTCTAGACGTACCCAGTTTGCCCTTTTGGACAGTCCCAGTTCAGCTCAATGTTCCTCCTCTCTCCCCCTTGTCCTCGGTTGTTTCTTCTTGCTCTCCCGTGTGCCCTCCTTGCTTACTTGTAATATGTCTGTTGGCCTTCTGCACATACTTTGCATCAGAGATCATTCGTGCTCCCAGTACGGCATCTCATTTGGGGGCGATGCCTCATTTGGGATGTTGTCTATGTGACCAAAGCATCCCCTTTCAGTAATCCATAATTATGCATCATTCTACTTACAGTTCTTATTTTTTAAATTCTGTCAGCTTTTTGTGTGTGTGGATTTTCATCTTTTCTCTGTGATCCAGTCTCCCCCACTCCCCCCACCCCCGACTCTATTATGCAGTTTCCTTATTGCCTCTCCCATCCCCTACAAGCATTTTTACAGTTTATTCCTCTTCCCTATACAGCATTGCCCATGTCTGTTTTTGGCCCATTACCTAGTTTTTGGTTCAGCTCTCCAAGTGTTCTCTGTGGGAGCCATTTCCCTTCTTTCCCACTGGTAGAAGGGCGCCACACCCACGGACAGTGACGGCCGGGAGAACAAGTGCAGGACATCGATGGGCAGAGGCTTTGCAAGTGAACTAGTTGAAGCTGGCCATTGGTGGTAGGGGAGCTCACAAGGCTGTTGGGAACAGATTTGGAAGCCTTTTTAATTTTTAGGTTGGCCCTCTTAATTCTTAATAACGATGGCCTTTTTTTTTCTTTCCTTTCCATATCTACGCACAGATTTGAATCTTTAAGTTACTCGGGGCCATGACTTGTGCATGCCGCTCCCGTATGCCACCTTTAAGTGGGTGTCCTCCACCTGTGGAGAGGAGGTCATGGTGAGGATGTGTGCAGACTTGGGTCTTCTTCCCAGATTCAGTCCCATAGTCCCTGTTGGTGAGCTGTGTGGGACTGTCACTTACTGCTGCCACTACCTGTCACTCAGTCCCGAGATGATTAAAGGACCTTGATTTCCTGGGCTGGTGGTTCAATGCCTAGAGAATGAGCAACCAGTCTTTGTTTGCGAGTCCCCCGACTTCCCCCCAAAGTACGGCAGAAAAGGATAGAAGGAAAATGAGGCTTCATTCATAAAACGGAGATGGGCTGAATGGGAAGAGGAGGGGGTGTCCTTGAATTTTACTTGGAAAGGCAAAGGAAAGGAAACTGAGCTGAACTGGAAAACACCCTTTACCGAGAGACATGGCCTTGGCCTCTTCAATATTGTAGCCATGCCTTTTCTCCCTACTCACGGTTTTTCGGTTTTAATACCGATGAATTTGATCATAAGATGGATCTGGTAAGGCTGTTTCTGACTAGCACATTGTTTCCTGCTGTTGGTAGTATTTAAGCCCAATGTTTCTAGTGCTCTGGAAACATAGGAAACAATTTAACAATGTGGAAACATCTTTACCAAAAGTATTAGCATTTTTTTTAAAGTAAAGGAAATTGTACTCATTTGTTAACTTGGTTTCACATTTCCCTTTTTTTTTTTTCAATTTCTGAAGACTGTCCCCTCAATGTTGTAGATATTGTCATAAATATCCAGCAAAAAAGTTTGCATTTTTATTTTGGACACCTGAACTATGTTCTGGGACCTCATTTACACAGAAGAGCTCCTTCCCCTTAAACAAATTGAAAAATACATTGCATGCTATAGATGTCTTTATCTTGTATAGTTTCAGGCAATAATCTAGGAATCTTATGTTTATTTTTATTTTTTAGGCACTAGAAAAACATCCCAACTCACCAATGACAGCAAAGCAGATATTGGAAGTCATTCAGAAAGAAGGATTAAAAGAGACAAGGTCAGTATTGGCACTTAATGGCTGTATGTTTTCATTGATTCTACTTGCCACTGTTGCAGAGCAATGGCTAGGTTTCCACTTTGACATCACAGTTGATTGCAAATTAAGTGTATCCCTGAAAGGTCTTTTGTGATGGCCAAAGATGGGGATGACCCAGGATTTCCTTAGATCTGCCCGTTAGCTTAACCTGTTACATTAGATGGATTGATAGGGAATGCACCTTGTTATTCACAAAGGGCAAGCCTGTGTGGTGTAGTTCCTCCTTGACGTTGCTCCTGTTTCTCTTTGTCATTTAAGAGGAGATGATGTGTCAGAAAAATGAGTACTGAAAGAGAAGCATTTTTACAGGCCTAACAGAGATTACAGGAAACAAATGCACCGGACTTTGGTCCTCTCACATTTAGAATGCCACGACCCGAAACATCCTTCTCAGCTGTTCGTTCTTTTTGTCTTGAGGACCGGTCTTGTTGAGGGAGGATTCAAACAAGCCATTCTTTCACAGTGTACCATTTGATACTTTGTAGTTTCTTCACAAAGGTATCTAAATCGAGAACGTGGTAATAACGTTCAGAATGAACCCCCCTCCCCCTCAGCCCGTGGTAAACACGCACTGGTTGATTTTTGGCCTTTGTGCATTTGCCTATTCTGGGCAGTTCATAGAAACAGAATGATATCATCGGTGGCCTTTGATAAGTGGCTTTTTTCACATCTTTTTTGCGGGGTGGGGAGTGGTTCCTCCTTGTTGTTACATGCACCGGTACTTTATTCCTTTTTGTGGCCCAAATAAGATTCCATTGTATGAATACTTTTGTGTGTCCATGACAGCCCTTTATTTTCCTGTGTGAATTTATTTCCCAGTTCGGGCTATCGCCAGCAATAGGCCATCTAGTTGATCGTGCCCAATGTATCAAACACAGAGGACATTATCGGTTAAAGTAACCGCAGTGTTGCCACAAGTGTTCAGTACCAGCATGAGATTGTCTACCTGCAAACCGTTGGGCAGACAGCAGGTGCAACTTGGTGAAAAACGAAACCCACAGAACTTCACTTGTGAATGGCTTTGGCTGATACTAAGATAGAACAACAGAAATGAATATCCTCCCGAGGCTTACTTTTCCCAAGAGTCGGTGTCTGTCACCTGAGACTCCTCCGGGGATCAGCGTGGGGAGCATCCCCTTCTAGTTTAAGATGCATACTTTGAAGTTAGATCCATGAATGTCAAGTCTAGTGGGGTGTGGGGCGCTTGTACTACTCGCATCTTTGCCCCGACTTTGGAGACTTTTTTTCTTGCTTGTCTTGGAGAATAGCCTCCTCATGTCACTGCCTGTGTTTGCAGTAATTGTTCCCCTACCAAGGGGAGGCCACCTTGGGGAGCAAAGTAGCTGACATCGCCTAAACAGCTCTGCTAAAGGAGATCTTTTGCTTCCTAGCCTGCTATCAATGTGAGGGGTCTAGGGAACAGAGTGGGGGTGGCCTGGCAAGTAGTTTTCTCCTTGCCGCCTGTCAAAAGTCCTGAAAGTATTTATGCCATTTAGAAAGCATTGGGGATGTTTGCATAATGGCCAAAAAGAAAAGAGGAGCTGAAAAATCTAAGGATCTCAATTCCTATCAAGTATGGGCTTTGTGTCAGAGAAATCCGCCAATGTGGACACGAGGAGCCTCTCCTGTGAACAGACTTTGCAAATTTGCTCATTAAGATATGAGCACTTCTCCAATGGAGTGACTGTGCTGCTCTTGGTTGTTGCAGACTTTGCGAGATGAAGTTCCTGCACTGTGGCACCGAGCAGCATTTTGACCCCACGTATGACTGTACCCGTGTGATTTCACATGTCCTCAGAGTGCTAGTCTTCCTAGTGTGGTGAATTAAAGCTCTTTAGACACCTATGGTTAGCAAAGATCAGCAAAAGAAAATAGTCCTTCTTTAAAGAGTAGTGACAAAGAGCACTGAAATAGGAAAGAGAGCCTTGTGGTCATCTAAGTAGGACCCTAGGTGGTGCAAGTGGTTGTGCCAAGCCGTTAACCAAAAGCTTGATGGTTGGAGCCCATGCATAGTGCCATGTGCAGAAAGATCTGGAGATCTGTGTCCCTAAAAACTACAGCCAAGAAAATCCTGTGGGGCTCAGTGGTCCTCGGTGGCACCTGGGGTCTCCATGACCGGGAATCACCTGGACCCTGATGGAGATGCCCATAAATGCACCCCACTGGGCACCAGCCTGCCTTCCACAAAGGAGGAAAGTGCCTGTTATTACAGGAGACTGCTATTGAAAGCACCTGCACGGAAGTCAAGATGGAAAGTCAAGGAACAAGGTCAAGAAAGAACACAGTCTCTAAGCCATTTTCTGTCAAATCAGTGCTGTATCGACAGGTGACTCTGCAGGCTATGTTCTCATTGCTTTTCATTGTTTCCACAAATCTCATTTCTCCTGTCAGGCCGGGCCCTGTTCTTTATGCCTGGTTTTGCATCTCTTCTTCACAGGCCCTTCGCGAGTGCTAGCTTCTTAGAATCATCTCTAAAGAAAAAGTGTATAGATTCTGAATGGGGTGGGGTGGGGGTGGGGGGTTCAGACGTTCCCATATGCTCTGCCGGTGGCTTTGGGCCTTAGACTGACGTTTAGTTTGAGTGTATGTTAGTGTACTGTTTTGGCACCTTCTACGTTCTCAAGTGTTTTCCAAATACTTAAGGTAGCTGAAGAAATGACGTGCAGCTGTATGCATTCTTCTTCAGTAATGCTAAGTTTAGAAATCCTGTTACAAGGTCAAGCACAGCTGCTGACTTTCTAAGTACAGTATGTGTGAATGATGTCTTGTGTAGGAAGTGCCGGTTTGCAAGATGGCTGGTTCCATACAGGCTCTTGCTTGAGTGTTACTAATAGCCCCCTGTGGTCTTTTCAACGAGAGGCACATAGTTCCAGGCTCCCCCAAACACACCGAGGTTGTACCTAGCATTTCTGAAAAAGAGAAGATTGGGCTATTGGAGGTCATCACTGCAACATGATCTTAATGAAGGTTGTTTCAAGTACAAGGGGGTACTAGAGCCTTTGTGTGCCAGGTCAGGCTTCTCCTCTCATTGGCCTCACTGTGTTATTATTTCCCCTTGCATATCTAACATGCGGCTGTGCTACCTCTTTAACGGCAGGCTAGCTCATGCCGCTGGCACTCAGCAGGGCCTCAATACAGATTTGTTGAGCAGATCTTCCTTCTCAAGATGTTAATTTACTGAGCTCCAGCAACGGCTTTCCTTTGCCTTCAGAGTTAGCTTCTTTTTGAGCATTATAGTTGTTTGTCTTCTTAGTGAACAGCTGTAGTCCCACCCCCTTTTTATTGATTGGGATTAATACATACATTAAGTCATTCCATAGTTCAATCACATTTTGCAGAATTGTGCATTGGCTACCACATACCACCATCCTTTCCTTCTTCTTCTTAAACCAGAAGGAATGTAACGGTTTTGTGGGACTGTGGAGGAGCTTCTGCAGATTGACTGTCAATACGCGCAGTTCTGCTCTTGCTGGTTTTCAGATGCCCTAAGAGCCTCTGCTTTCACTGTGTAACGTGCACCTGAGAACACACTGGTACTTTTGGTCGAGCTGGTGTAGCATTTGAATGTATTTAGACAGGAGATTTTGTTAAAGGCATACCCAGGTTGTAGATAATTAAGGACAACTCATAGGAACCCTTCAGTGTTATGGAAATTTCCCCTTACTTAAAATGATGGAACCAATCCTTAATCTCAACAGTTCTTCATCACAATCACCTTCATTTGTTGCACATGCAGCTTTTGCATTACTGAAAAGGTGCTGGGTCTCTCCTTGCAATTATTGTGGATTAACATAGGCCAGTGAAGCGAAATACGAATGGTATGCACCTGTTTTGACTTTTACCTATAAAACCTCCTGAAAGACGCGGTTAGGAAAAGATCTCTTTCGTAAACTGGGGACTGCCGGCGCTTTCTTTGGCTGAGATGAAATCTTGACATTTTATGTGAACTTTTCCTCATTTCAGGTAATGTACTTCAAATATTTTCCACGTGGACATGATAAAAAAAGGACGTCTGTTTTGTATCTTCTTTGTACTTTTGATAGACTGTGTATTGTATGATTCAATTCTGTTTGGAAAAACCAGGCTGAAATAAGGACTTTCCATGTACTTTGAAAATGCTGTATAAATATTAATGAGCTATCAGAGGAGCATGTGGATTTCGTTGAGCAGATTAGTAATACGATCAGGGAATCTTTTTTTGTCAAAATTAAAAAAAAAGAAATTTGGTTAGTTTTACTTCCTTTCTGTATAATAAAAGATTTTTATCAATATGATTTTGTTCTGCAATATCCATATACTTGCCGAGTTGATTCTGCGTGGACATTTACAGGCTTGTGTTATTTTGTGGAGCCCTGGTGGTGTCGTGGGTTGTGGGTGGGCTGCGATTCACATGGTCAGCAGTTGGAAACCACCAGCAGCTCCAAGGGAGAGAGACTGGGCTTTCTATTCCCGTCAACAGTGATAGTGTCGGAAACCCACAGGGGATAGCCATGCGTCACAATGACTCAATGGCAGTGAGAGGGCTCTTTTATGAAGGTGCTCTGCAGTGCAGTGGTTCAAGAGTTGGGATGCCTATGACAAGGCCAGCAGTTAGAACCCTACAGTTACCCCACTGGAGCAAGATGAGGTTTTCTGCGCCTGTAGAATCTGTAGCTCCGGGAACCCCAGGGGCGGTTCTATACTTTCCTATTATATTTTTTTTCTTAAAAACATTTTTTTGTCCTATAGAATTAATGAGTCAGAATCGACTAGATGGCAGTGAATTTGGTTTTGGGTTTGGCTACTTTGTGCTCAGGAATTGCCACTGATTGAGCAGACAGCTGTTTGGAATGCTTCTAGATGACTTGAAGCCCCGAATCAATCCATTAAGCATGCTGCATGTAGAGAGGGGGTTCAGATATGAAGGGTGCAGGGTGCTGCTGTGTGTGGATGGACATTTCATTTGCTATTCCTCTTTGGAGTCCTTGGCTAAATAGTCCCACTTTCTCCCGGAGTTAGGGTGCTATGCAGAAGACACTCTTATGCACAGTCATTCAAAGGGTGTTGCTAGAAAAAGAGGAGTACTCCCAGTCACTAGGTTGCTTTGGGCAATTTGTGGTTGTTCCAATTCTGCTTTTGCTTTGTTGATTCAGAAATTATTTTTTGGCAAAATGGGTTGAGGTGTCATTGACATGGACAAATTTAGTTTGCTCCGCTCCTGCAATTTGTGAAGCAACACTTCCAAACAAATATGTGTTTTATTATAGGGACCTACCGAGGAGCTGTTCGGTTCTAGGGGAGACTTGTATTCCTTAGCTAGCAAGAGCCGAATAACCATCTGTCAGTGCGATGAGGGGTAATTTTCTATGTGCTGGCCACTATGTGACAAGTCCACAATATAATGTGGACTCTGCTACAGCATTTCTATTCTTTAGTGATAGACAAGTCATTTTCTAATGGGAAGTGAGATGGCCATAACTTAAAACCAAACCAAACAAAGAAAAAAACCAGGAAACAACAACAGAAAGGGAACAAAAGCCTTTTGTTGGTAGGGGGCCAACAAACTAGCCCAACAATATTTATGAGGCACTTTTTTTGCAACATTATACATGCCTTCCTTTACAAAATCTATATTAGTGTTCATCACTTATTTACAGCACAGCAGACTATAACTACATGTCACAGTGGGGACATTTTAAAAGTTTTATAAACCATCTCTGTTGTGTTTACTGTTACTAAAAATATGGACATGTTTTTTGGTTTTTGCAATGTTGAACATGCAGTGACAGCCATAGATTTTGCAATTATTCTGGTTTCAATGAGAAATTTTTATTCCCACTGATAATTCATAGAATAAATTTGTTTTTTGCTGCTTGTCTTAAGGCTTTCTCATGTTTTCTCTTTTGCAACCTCTCTTATGATATGCTGAAATTAGGATCTCCACTTTGTACTGTGGTTCATTAAAGATGTTGCATTTTTCTAGGAGGATAAGATGTCAGAACATTCTATTACCATCTATAGTGACAAACAATAAAATGTCTTGACATTTCTCTTGGTGAGATTTACGTTTCTAATTAGTGCTGTAGGAGATGATTCTTTCTGGCTGCTGAAATGTTTTGTCTAGAGATAAGAAAGAAACACAGATAATGTCTATTGCAAAATCAATTCTTATCTCCAGACTCCATGTTGGTACCCTTCCTTTCATACGGAAATGCTGGCCTAATTTGTTTGTGTTGAGCCATTTTAGAATAGCGTGTGAACTCGGCGTCAACTCTGCCAGTTGTTACATCCAGTTCTCATTGGGTGAATGGTGTGCAAGGTCAGTTATTCAGAGAGGCATGTAGGGGGGACTCTATGGTGTAGCTAATTTAGGAGCACAGGATAATCTGCATATATTTGTGTGTACGTGTTTGTGTGTGATAGTGTCCTAGTAGCCTCTGAGCATAATCTAGCTCTTTGTTGACACGCAAACAAGGATTGTACTTATCATTACTTAGAACAGAGATTTCTGTCAGATTCTACCTTAATTCTCTTCTCCCATGACTCCATCGATGGTCCATTTTGGGGGAAGAGCTAGTATTTTCTATGGACTCCTCTGTATCCTTACTTTTGGACATTCTTGAAACACTTATCGATTCTCCCCAGATTATTGCACATTTTGCCTTATTTGGTTCTGTTTTCTCCACCTGTGTTCCCTCCCCCTTTAAGTCCATTTTTCCTTAAATAATCATTATCGTATATACTTCTTACTGACAATCCATGATAGTCCAAGGGACACCCTCTATCTAGTAAGTTATAGATCAAAAGTCACTGTCGGTATGTTTGATAGTTAGATGACATCAAGTGAGTGCTCTTTCCTAGGTACATGGTAGCTAGATGCATGATCTTCTGATAAAGTAAGGTGGGTGAAATGAGTGATGAAGTATACATTGTATCTTGCAGTTGGATGAAATCTTCCTAGGCATTTCTAATCTGCTTTTTCTATATTCCTGTCGTATCCTTCAAATGTAATGTAACATTCATACAAAATGCTTTTGTTCATAATCAGTTGTATTATATATAGTTGTTTTAAAGTCCGTGCTATGGAACTTACTAAATAAGTCACAATCTGTTTGCACATATCGCTATTTAAATTCTTCATGAGACTGGAAGTATTCCCTGAGCTAGATAAAAAAAAAAAATCACTGGAGAAGCCATTGACCTACAAGGTCAGGTTCCAACTCCTTAAGGCAAGCCCAGGACTCTCACTTTGGACAGCTCGCTGTCAAGCTATCGTGGTCAAGCTTGGGCTATTGCAGCCACTGCTACCCACTGTCCTCTTCCGCGGAAGTTTCTCAGTATCTTATTATGTTATGTATAATAGGAGTGGAGCCTCCTAAAGCATGTATAAAATATGTACCATGTCTGTGTGCACACACGTACACTTGCATGTGCATGCTTCTGGTCAACCTGACATTGTTCTTTAAGAGGCTATCTATCCATTGCTGATTGAGGAGGAAAAGGGGCACTTTTCAGACCAACTTCCTCAGGATTTTGATGGAATAATTTGGAATAGAAATCCTCCCAGTTCCCAAATAAAACCCAGTCTAACCCATTGCATATCTACTTTAACTCCTAGCCACCCTATAGGGTAGTATAGAACTGCTCCCTAGGTTTCTGGCTTTAAATCTTTACAGCTGCATACTGCTGCATTTTTTGCCCTTAGAGGGGTTGGTAGGCTTGAACTACCAACCTCATGGTTAGCAGGCTAATGAGTAAACTCCACAATAGAAAGTCTTACTAACAGTGATTCAAAATTTGGGACTTATCTCTAAGGATTTATGGCATACCAAGAGAGCATTTCTGAAATTTCTAATATCTGACTGATCTTGAAGGTAAGGTGTTCATAACAATATGCTTGATACAGTATTATACTCTGTTTTTACATAATACACACTTTCATGTTATTCTTAACATAAGAACTAATGGAAATACTTGGTTTAATAAATTCCACATCCAAGAATAATGTGTACCATCACATAACATAAACTGATTTGGATTTTATTTGAAGCCTTTGGTAAAAATAGCTGTGGTGACTGCATATGCCCCTCAAGGCATCAGTGTCCAGTAAAATATCCAATTATAGCTAAGAAATGGCAGGTCCGTAATACATCTTTTTATTCTGTCAGGTTTTCTCCATTCTTCCAAATAATTGAACAAAAAAGGTAATTTGGGCGATTTTAGCTTTATCAAGATCTAGGTATAATTTACTCCAGAAACATGGAGTACTCTATAAATATTTCAGTGCAGAAATAGAACTAGAAATGGATATAAAAGTGCATGGTCTCTGAGCCTTTCGAAGGATCAGGAGCAGGTGAAAGTCTTTGGGGAGGAAGAGGCATTTAACCGGGGTGATTTTATTTAATTTCTTCTAAGTGGTGCTTTACTCTTTATTTTCATTTTATTGCTTGTGCTTTTAATTGCCATATGCCTAAATGATTTTAGTTTTGCTTTATTGTTTTGAACTGACAACATAATTCAAATGCAAAACAGTTGATGTGCTGACAAGGGGACTTCTTTTTATAGTTGATTTGTTTTCAGAAGGAATAAAATTTATAATACTTTGTTAAGCCAGGTTTTCTAACAGTTACAGTACATAATTCCTAAGAATAAATCCTCGCTTCTTTTGTACAACCAAAGGCCCGTTTATCTTTTCCCTTCCCATGTCCCCACAAAACAAATAGATAATTGTTGACTGGAATTCCATCTGAAATCTGAGGTGAATATCCTAGTGACTTCTGTTTTAAATCCTCATCATTTTTGCTGCCCCGCTACTTTTCCAAGCCCGGTGCCCTTCTCCAGGGACTGGTTTCTCCTGATAACGTGTTCAAAGTATGTGAGACAAAGGCTCAGCATCCTTGCTGCTAAGGAGCATTCTAGCTATATCTCCTGTGAGACAGTCCTTTTTTTGTTCTCTTGGTAGCCCATCTACTTGCAGTGTTTTCACAAACACCGTAATTCAAATGCATCAACTCTGCTGTAGTCTTCCTTACTCTTTGTTCTGGTTCGCATGTGCATGTGAGGTGATGAAGAATCCCACAGCTTGGGTCAGTTGCACCTTTTCAGAATGAGGTTTTTTGGAATAGACTTGTCCAGTGAAGTATGCCATTTGCTATTTTTTCAGTGCAGTTTCTGTGAACATAGCTTGTCGACTCAAAGTAAAATTAAGTCCTTGACAACGTCAGTCTTTTCTCCATTTATCAGGATGTTATCTGATGGTACAGCTGTGAGGTTTTTGTTCATTTGTTTGTTTTGCATTGAGCTGTAAATCATATTGAAAGCTGTAAGTAGGTATTAGCTATTATTGTAGTTCCAATTTTACAGATAGAGAAACTGAGGCAGACGAGATTAAGTAACTTGAAACAGGCCATCTAGCTAGCAATTGCCAACTTGGGATTGGTTTTCTAACTCATAACCAGTCCATGTTAACATTTATAAACATTTGTAGCCCCAGTCTAATAAAATTACAAGTTAAAAAAGAAATTGGTTAAAAGATTCTCTTAAACATTCTTCCACTCCGTAGAAGTTGAGAAGCAAATTTTCTGGCTGATTGGTACGTTTTATATGTGCATTTTAATTACTGAGATAAAAATCTGACCTGTAGATACATGTGTTGAGACACTTTGAATTGATGAAAGAAACATTTCTAAAACCACTTTGATTTCAAAGATTGCACACTTTGGAAATCTTTACCTGTTAGGTGTGTCAGTGGGAGAAAGATCGCAGCTTTAAGCGCAGAACTGGACCAATGGAGAACCATGCTTGAAGTGTAAAATCTTACTGTTTGTTCAGAGGCTGATTCTGTGGGGAAGGGAAGCCTGCTGTGGGGAGTGGGAGAACAATGGGCATCCTAGGATTAATTGTGGGAGAGAGAGGAGGCTGTCTGCTCCTGTGAGGATTTACAGGCTCAGAAGGAAGACCTAGCTATATAGAGTCACCACCATGAGTCGGAATCAGCTCTATGACAGTGGATTTCGTTTGGCTCAACCTTTTTTTGGTGGGTGTTGATTTTGACCTTAAAAGTTAAAATTCTTTCCCGTCAGGAACTCTTAAATAATGCCAAAGAGTGATTGATAGCAAAGTGTAGTTTAACATAAAAGGGAATTTTAGAGGATATCAATTAGTACATTAAAAAATTTATTGGGGGCTCATACAACTCTTATCACAATCCATACATCCATCCATGTGTCAAGCACATTTGTACTTTCATTGCTCTCACCATTCTCAAAACATTTGTTCTCCACTTAAGCCCTTGGGAACAGCTCCTCATTTCCACCCCTCCTCCCTCTCCCTGAAGAACTCTTGATAATTTATAAATTATTATTATTTTGTCATATCTTACTCTGTCCGATGTCTCTCTCTTCATCCACTTTTCTGTTGTCCATCCCCCAGGGTAGAGGTTATATGCAGATCACTATAATCAATTCCCCCTTTCTACCCCACCTTCCCTCCACCCTCAGGTATTGCTACTCTCACCACTGGTTCTGAAGGGATCATCTGTCCTGGATTCCCTGTGTCTCCTGTTCCTATCTGTACCAGTGTACATGCTCTGGTCTAGCTGGATTTGTAAGGTAGAACTGGGATCATGATAGTGTGTGGGGTGGGGGCTATTTAAGAATTAGAGGAAAGTTGTATGTTTCATTGTTGCTACACTGCACCCTGACTGGCTCTGCTCCTCCCTGCAACTCTTCTGTAAGGGGATGTCCTGTTACTTACAGATGGGCTTTGCATTCCCAATCTGCACTCCCCCTCATTTGCAATGATAGGATTTTTTTGTTCTTTGATGCCTGATCCCTGATCCCTTTGATGCCTCCTGTGATCACACAGGCTGGTGTGCTTCTTCCATGTGGGCTCAGTTGCTTCTCAGCTAGATAGCTGCTTGTTTACCTTCAAGCCTTTAAGACCCCAGACTCTATATATCTTTTGATAGCCGGGCACCATCAACTTTCTTCACCACATTTGCTTATGCACACAATTGTCTTCAGCAATCATGTCAGGAAGGTGGGCACACAAAAAGCAAGAGGAAAATATTTGGGTTTTCTTAACTTTGCTTAGATGGGGCTGGTCATTTTAATGGGAGTGGGCTTGGTTTTTGTTTTAGTGTGATGCTAAGTTATTAACTTTGCTCTTCATTATAGATTTTCATCTTAGGAGAGAAAAGACAAAATAATGTGAAGATAGTTCTAGAAACAGCATTGCTGCATCCTTTAGGAAATTTCTTAAACAGTGACAACTCAGATAATTTACTATAATTTTTAATGTGTAGCAGGACCATTTGTTTTCCTACCACCTACCCTTGTACTCCTATTTAAGAACACCACTCTTTCATCTCTCTCTCCATATATATATATATACACACACACACACACACACACACACACACACATATATATATAAACAGGATGGGGATGTTCTCCTTCAGGACACTATACCTAGCTTGAATTCAAGATTTAATTATTCTTTAATATGTCTGCATGCGACACAATAATTTACATAGAACTTGTTATTCAATGTGTTGCTTACTTGGTATTTATTGAAGATGATCTCCTAGCTGTTAGAGACAGGAAAATGGCTTTCATGAAGATTTGTTTCAACAAGCTGTTGCTGGTGAGAGATTGTAAAGAATGGGTCACATCTGAAGGTCTTAGGTGTTAAGATTAGCAAGAATAACATTGAGACACCCCCCCACCCACGGCAAACAGAAATTGCTAACTAAATCGACTGTACCGGAAGAACTATTTGAAATGACCTAAAACAATTTGTACTACTTATTCTTTTAATGCAATCAGAGTACTGGAAATATTGTACTGATTTTTAAAAATTGTACATATGTATGTTGTTTTATTTTGAGCTAGACCAGTACAATTTTTAATTTCCCAAGTTTGATGAGTTGGTTTATTGTGTTGGTACCGTCTTGTGAAGCATTTCCAGTCTTCAGAACAGTCGTCTCTGGAACACTCTGAGTTACCTGAAATGGAGAAGTATCTACGTTTTCAATCCGCTGCCCCTCACCCAGCTTCCAACCATCTGGTTACCTAAGCCATGAGTCTTTGTGATTGGAGATGAACGGGCCGGGGAGTTGCATCCTTTCAGGAAGAGAAGGGCAGGACTCATTCCCACAAGGAGCCATTTACTGTTGTTTGTAGCATTCCAGCTTCAAGCCAGGCACTTGGGGATTGATCTGAGAACAAGTCCTCTTTTTACAGTAGAAGGTGTTCTACTGCATCAGGTCGTAATCTAAGATGTACGTGTCAGTGATCGCAGAACTATAACAGTTTGTTTCGGGTCAGGAAGGGCTGTTAGTTTAAAGGCCAATGAGCAATACTTAGAAGAGCTGAATGGATTGTTCACAATCTAGAGCTAATGAACCTTTGATTTAGAAAGGAACCCTGGTTACGTAGTGGGTTATGCCCTGGACTGCTAACGGTAAGTCAGTAGTTTGAAACCCCCGGTGGGAGAAAGGTTGGGCTTTCTGCTCCGGTAGAAACAGGAAGGCTAGTAGCACTATTTTTGCACTTAGCCTCGTTGGACTTCATTGTGTACCTTACAGTCTGAAAGCAGGTGGCCCACGAGGGATGATACCTTTGCCCCACCAGGCCATCCCGGTAGCTTGTGTGTTGTTGCTCTTTTGTTCCTAGAACTTTGTCCTCCTCCTAGTCTGTTATGGGCTGCCTCCAGACTCATATTCCAGTGGGAAAAAGAGGAAGCAACCTACTCCGCCCCGTTCAATATAC